AATTTATTCTGTTGAAGGTAATGTTGCACGTTATGAATGTTCAAATGATAATGATGATTTTAATCAAGTTAAAACATTTTATCGACAAATTTTAAGTCCAGATGAACGAATAAATTTAGCAAGAAATTTAGCAAAAAGTTTAGCATTAACACAACAATTTATTTGTAAAAGAGCATTAGAAAATTTTTCAAATGTTGATCAAGATTTAGTAAATGATATTCAACATTTTCTTAATTTACAACGACCAACTAAAATGGAAGATTCTGGTATTCAAACAGATCTTGAACGAAAAATTTAATTGAATAAATTTAGAAAATCAAATTGAGTATAGAAAAATATAGAGTCTAGAATTTTTACTTCAATATATCAGCATTGTGTTATATCGTCCATGAACTTAGAATAAAGATTGTTGTTAAATCACGTATTTATATAATGTCAAACCTTTAGATGAAACCCATGTTCACTTGGCAGTTACAATCAAATTGAATTCTTGTTACATCTTATTTTTACAAAAAGAAAAATCTTCATTTTTTTTTTTTGAAATCATAAAGTATACACTGCAGTGTATTTGATAGAGATGTTACCGAATAAACAGTGCACAATGTTCTCTATTTGGTTTATTATTATATCATTGGAAAGAATAAATTACATAAGATCAGTCTGTAAAGGCATACGGGTCCATATATTCGACTATATGAAATAAGAATTTGAATTTTTTTACAATCAAAAAAATAGTCATGAAATTGTATCAATATATTATTGAAAAATTAAAATATTATTAACCAAAATACAAAAATAAGAAAACAACAATGGGAAAAATTTTCCTTATAGACAAAGTCGTCGAATATTGATCTCTTAGACTTTGTTTTTTTCTTTTTATATTTCATCATGAGTTGATTTTTGCATACAGTAAAATCCCTCTGATGTGATCGCTATCGGAACCGACCAAAAGTACACATTTTATGGAAGTGCTCATTATTGGCAGGTTTTCAGTTTCTTTTTTCCACCAATTAATTAGTTCAACTTTTTTAATTAGAGGTAAATCGTTAACACGACAGATGAACTTCCCAACATAAGAAACTATTTAAAGAAATACAAGACAATAATATTCTTAGAATAAGTCCACCCTCGTATCAAAGATTGAGTAGAACTCTTGCTCATTTAAAGTATAAGTCTCTTATTATCAAATGAAAAGTTAAAATGAATTATTATAACTTTTCATCAAAAAGTTCATATGGAACATGTTTCTTTCGTTTTTGATGTAAGCGTTTGTTTTCTCTTGACTCACACCCACATTCCTCTGAAGCTTAGCATTAAAGAGAAAATCTATTGAAGATTTTAAGATGAAATTACATTCAAACTTGATAATAACTGAACAATTGCAAGCCAAATTTGTAAAACTACAGAAACATGTCAAATATAAACTTCTTGTTGAAAAATTATAACAACTAATTTCGACCTTTTATTTGATAAGAAGAGACTTATATTTTAAACGAACAACAACTTTGTTCTATTATTGATGTCAATATGGACTTATTCAAATAAAATTATTTTCTTGTATTTCTTTAATTTGTTTATTATGTCAAGCTCATCTCTCGGTGTATCGTCTGTTGCTGTTGTCTAATATTAATTTTTTTTCTTTTAAATATGCACCGTTAGTTCATTCATTTTTCATACGTATTCCATGATTGTTTATCACAATGCAATATATATAACATCATTTTTTTCATCCTTGACACGTAAGTGTGAGAACATATATTACTCATATTACAAAGGTTGTTATTGGTTACGGGACTAGAGATATGCGTCTATTGTTCAGAATAAGGAGGTGTTCATATTTGATAGACTTATTTCTAACAAAATTTACTTGAGCAGGCTATAGATTATCCAGCATAAGAAGATTCTTCCATAGAAATGTTTTACTGTAAATTCATTCTTAATAATAAAACAGATCTCTATGTGTCTTTTTTTTCTGGAAATTTATTTCCATTAGCAAAAATATAATCAAGAATGACTTATTCATCTGTAGTTGATATTCACTATCAAAAATTACCACAAAAGAGAAGAGTAATAAAAAGAAAAAAAAAATATAGAATTATAAAAGCTTCTTTCCTATGAATATGAAATAAAAACTATCATTTGCTTGAATAATATTTATTAACATGAATAAAATTTTTGGTTATATTATCCTTTTATGAAATATAACCATGTTATGACAATAAAAACAAAAAAAGAAATTCATATTCCCATATCTTTCAAACAAATTCAAAATCTGATTTTATCGAAACACAGAGCGGTGTAATGTTACTTTGTTTTCTACTTTAATATTTCTAACTAAAAAAAAAAAAAAAAGAAAAAAAAAAACAAAGAAAACAGAAAAATGCAAGAGATGAATAAATAAAGTAATAAGAGTAGGCACACAAACACGAACAAACAATTAAAAACAAAAGAAAATGTTGTATATATATATATATTTTTTTTTTTGCTGATAACAATTAATTTAACAAAAAAACAAAAACCAACTAACTATCTTTGAACATAAAATATCAATGAAAAAGGCCCGATTAAATTTGTCCTTCATAAACAAATAATAACAATATTAAGGTGAAATAAACACAAAAACAATAAACAAATAACCATATATAGTTAAGAATCATCTAGTTCAGATTAAAAAAAAAACAATTTTTCTTCTTTTAAGACTAGAACAGAAAAAAAAAAGTTCAACGATATTTATTTATCGAAAAAGGAAACTGAAAATTGTTGAAATAAGAAATTGAATTGTTTTTTTTTTTTAAAGTCTTCTTATTTGTTTCTATCTTGTTTAAATATTTTCTCGTAAACGCATTTTTCTTCCACGAAGAACTAAATATAATATTAAAATTAAAATAAAGAAAATTTAAGAATATATCTTTTTTACCTTTTGTTATATAAAGATAAAAAAAATCACAATAAAGAACTGTTTGAATAACACCAGATACAATTGAAATCCAATCAAGATAATCTTCCATATAATAACGATAAATCCAATTAAGAATATAAAAGAATCGATAAATACCCAATGCAAATAAATAATGACTTGTTATTGTTTCAGCTTCACCTGTTTTACTAACCATATATAATTGAGGAAGTATAGCAACAGATTCAAGATAAATTGAAAAAGTCCAAAGAATCTCAAAATTAAAAAAAAAAAGAATTTCATATTAACAAAAAAATAAATTCTATTGTTTTTTTGTAAATTTCTTACTTCAAATACTGAAAAATCATGATTCCATACGAAAGCAAGTGCAAGTGTTGGTAATATTAATAATTCAATACGAAATGAATCATGATTACGATCATATGTTGTTTTAAATTTAAAATAAATAAAATAAAGTGTAACCGTTGTTGAAACAAGATAAATTACTTTCATTATTGTATTATAAATACTAACATAATGTAGAAATAAATCCAAATAACGACATATGAATACAAGATCATAAAGTAGAACACTTTTACCAGATACACCTATGTATATATATATAGTTAGGAAAAAAAAGTCATATTAGTATATAAAAAAAAAATTTTATACCAGCACATGAACGTGTTGTCCAGATCTTAAGTAATAAAATAATAATAGCTGCTAAATGAGAAAAGTCGCCTAATAAACGAAAGATATTCATCTTATGAACACAATTGACAGTATTGCTACGTTTATCCTAGACAATATTTCAAATAAGGATGAGAGGCATCAGATGTGACAATGAATAATATAAATATATATATACAGTAATCACTACTCAAAATCATTGGAAGTAGTACGTGGCTTTCAAAGTCATGTTGAAAACCAATCAAAACAATCTTTATAGATTTATTTTTGACAATTGTATGGAATTTTTTTGATACTTAATTCTTCTATTAAATTTAATAAGAATTCATGTTTTTCGATCTAAGTTTTATTTTATTTAACAAGATGGCGCTAGACATCGAGCAATATATTTTCTTATATTAATGGAAAATATTTGTACCAATATTGATATTACCTCCTGCTGATCTTCCCGTCTTCTCTTTCATCTCTCTACTGTTCTTTCTTATGCTAATCTCTCTTCTATATAGATATGTGTTATATGTGCAGTAATAGTTTAATAAACATCATTACCACAGGTGGTGGTACCATACTCCTACAATTTATCATTACAGAATCGAATAAACATTTGATTTCATGAATATAGATAACTACAGTAAACTTTGTTCATTGTTATCTTATTTTCTTTTCTATCAATGGAGATCTAAAATTTGACTTTTAATTCAGAGTTAGAACTCTGTGAAATCTCGAAGTATTCAATGATTTCCCCAAATGAAACAATACCGTAATATAAAACCATTTCACGTACAATTGATTTCTTTCTATACAACAAGAGTGACCTCATAAGACATTCATCGGTAAAAAAATATTGTTATAAAGTTCAATATATGTTTAATAATCTTGTTACATTCTACAAAGCATTTTAAAATAAATGCGATCATTACTATTCAACTTGATTAGTTATCGATTGATTAGCATCAGTCCCACTGAAATAATTATTCGATTTATGTTTTGCCTAATTTTTTTTTATGAATATTGATATATTTGCATGTTATTACTTTAGATATTACAATTATTATCTTTTCTTTTAGTTCAATACATTAACAAATATTCTGTGCTTAAATCCTAATCATCTTAATTACCTAATTTTGCCCATCATTATACGATTGGTTAGATATTTTTACCAATGACATAGATCTTATTTCAACAAACAAAAACTATGACAAATTCAGGTAAAAGTATATGTACTTTTATGAAAAAAAAACCTAGTCAATCATGATTTTGAATATAATAGATAAAAAAAAATTATCATATAGTAATTATATACTTCTATGATTTCATATTTATTATCAACGGATAAAATTATTTTTTCATATGAGGTATATAAAATGTATAGAATTCAATACTTACCTTTATTCAATCTTTATAACAAATTATTATGTCGAAAATTTTCGATAATTTATTATCAACTAAATCTTTACATTCAAAAGATCCTATTGATCGATATATTTTCGATCATTCACTTCGTTATACACCTGAACAACTTGAACTTTTAGAAGATATTAAAAATTTACCAGGTATAAAAAAAATTATTTATTATTAATTCAAATAAAATACTATTGAAATATTTATTTTGTTTTCATACTAAAGAAAAAATTCAACCATGGTTAGGATCAACAGATGAAGCACAATTTTTTCAATTACTTATTCGGCTTATGAATGGCAAACGAGCAAGTAAAATATTTTATGTTCTCTTTACTTTCACCTACTCACACGTACATTCTTGCATGAGAAAAATAGATGATATGAAACATATGCATGGTTCAAATTAATTTGTTTATTAATTTTTTTGACAACAATTATCTTGTAGTTTATGGACATTCTTCCTTCCTCTTTTCCTCATAGATTATAACTAATATTTATGTTTGTCAAGATTTTATAATAGATAAACATTCATTCAGATATGATATTTTGTTTTTTTTACCAAATTACATTTTTATATCATTAAAAATGTTGTATTCCAATAGTTCATACTTTCACGATTCTTTATTAAAAGAATGTATGCTATGGAAGTATTAAAAAACAAAAAGAACAAACAAACTATTTGATGAAACGTTCAAGAATTTTATTTATGCATTTTTATTCAAATAATTTTTTCTTTCTAGTCGAAATTGGAACATTTACTGGTTATACATCATTAGCTATTGCTTTAGCACTTCCATCTGATGGTGAATTAATAACATGTGATATAACTGATGAATATATTCGTCAAGATATATGGATTAAAGCTGGTATTCGAAATAAAATAAATTTACAAATACGACCAGCTTTAGAAACTCTAAAAGATTTACTTAAAACCTATGGTTCAAATTCATTTGATTTTATATTTATTGATGGTGATAAAGAAAATTATCTTCAATATTATGAATTATCACTTGAATTAATACATTCAAATGGTTTAATCGCTATTGATAATACTTTATGGAATGGACGTGTATTAAATGAAAATGATACATCAATTGAAACAATAACTATACGTCAAATGAATGAACTTGTTAAAAATGATAATCGTATTGATATTAGTTTTTTAAGATTAGGCGATGGCACAACACTTTGTAGAAAAAAATAAAGTCTAATTCGATACTTTATTTTTATTTTTTTTCTCTTATAGATTTTACTTTTGTTTTTTTACGAAGTAGACATCGATTATGTCATGTCGCTTCTTATTTTTTTTACTAGTTATTATTCAAAAATGTTTTTCTTCCGTACATATCTCACCGAATCGTAATCAATTACAATATAGTTTTATAAGAACAAATTCTGATAGAATAGTTGAACGTTTTAAACGACGTACAACGTCAGATATATTTCAAATTCATATTCATTATGATACAAGTGTTAAAAAGTAATCATGATGATAGTGTTTGTTTTTTCTTTTAATTATTTATATTAAAACTTATTTGTTTGATATAGATTATTAAAAGATGAACAACGATTAATTAAAGAAGCTGTTGAAGCTGCAACTAAATTTTGGAGTAAAGCTATTCGACCGAAATATAAATTAAATAATCGAATACGATTAGCAAGGTATTAATAAGATGGAAGAATTTTTTTCATTTTTATTATACAGAGAGTTGCAAAAATTTTTGCTATCAGGTGAAAAATACCTAAACTTAAATCCTTTAGTTTCATAATTTGACTACTAATAGAGCATGTTGAACTCTGATCGCAAGAATTAATCAGGATGCAACAGCTAGAAAGTTGATATAGACTTTTTTTTCTTTAGACTAGGATATCTCAACATAGAAAACAAATCTTATACTCCATATGAGAGTTGACGGAAATCATCGAAAAGTAACTGATGTTTTCGGCTAATTTTAAACATTTGTTTTGAAATTTTCTCCAGTGTATGCCATGCTCTAATCAACTTTTTTTGTTGAAAATTCACTATCGCAGTGTTCAATGGAGAAGAAACCTATGCTGAGATCGTTCTAGATAATGGAGGCTTCCCCATGTCTCAAGATTATAGTGAATTGAAATACCTTATCTGTGTCATAATATAGACATGTGAATCTTTATTTGTTAATTAGAAAATTAAATAGTGGAAAACGAATGTTTTCATCGTAAATCCTTTGCAGTAAGGTCTGTCGATCTCGGATTGCTGTTTGCGATCAGAGTTTACCGAGCTATATTTGTAGTCAAAATATCAGATAAAAGAAAATTGAAGTTTATGTATGTTTTACTCCCGTAGTGGAACTTCTTGTGACTACTTTATTTATTTTTATTTATTTTTATTACTAGACAATGTCCATCAAGAAAAATGTTTATTGTTGAAAATGATTATTCTGTACATTATTGTTCAGAAAAATGTTTAGATGAAACACATTGTGGTGATATTATTGTACCTTATGAACATTTACAACAATGTCATGTTTGTAATAAAGATAGAAAATGTGAACGTATTGGTACAAATGGTAGTGGTGTTAATGCCGAATTTATTTTATATGTATCAGCACTTGACACAAATCGATGTGAACCAATTGATACATTGGCTACAGCATCTTTTTGTCAATTAGAACCAGAACAAGATAGGTAAATAGAATAAAATTAAGATGCTAAATGATTACATTAGATGATGATTTGATATCAAGAGTCCAGCTAGTTCCATTCAATCGTATGTCTTTTTAGAACACTTAGTTAAGCTTGTTGTGATGGCATTGATCAATCAAATTTAATCTTCATATAAGCATAACTATATAGTTTATAGTTTATAGTACATGTGAATGTTGCTCATTTATCAAAAGTCCGCTTGAATTCTCATAAGATGTGTACAGCATGAAAGTTAACCTTGAGTTTTTTTTTTTTAAATATGGTTTGGTAAAGATTATTTATACATTATATTAGTTAATGCAATTGATAGTTCCCTTTTGAATCTCTTTTACTAATTATGAACGAGTTTCCAAAATGCAGATTTTTGAGATTTACTTGGGTTTATATATTGATAGAATATAACATATTTAAACTATCAAAAAATGAACCATACTCCTGAAGAGTCAGTCTTTATTCTCAACTGCTCTCACGTGCTAAGTGTTGTTCTCACCTTCATCTCCAGGTAGATATATACCCTCAACTTAGTTTCTTCTGTTTGATGATAAGAGAGATAACGGAATTTATCGAAAAATCTCGAAAAAAACAAGATCTTGGAAGCTGCTGCTATCTTGAAAAATTTTTATTTTATTTTTTAGACCAATTGCTGGTAATATCAATGTATGTCCAAGGCGTTTGAGAGGCGATCGTATTTGGATAGATTTTGATCGTCTTGTTAGTACAATAAAACATGAAATTCTTCATACATTGGTAAATAAAAAAACTTCATACTTTAATAATAATTAAGAAATGACTCAATGTTTAAATGTTTATAGGTGTTTTCTTCTGGTCTTTTTGCATTTTTTCGAGATAGTAATGGTGAACCATTTACTGAGCGTGATCCAGCAACACGATGGCCTAAAGCTTATGATGAAAAGTATGTCATATACTTGAATTCATCATCGTATTAAATTTGTTGTATAATAATAGATTACAAGTATATACACCCAGTGATAAAGTGCTTAAACAAATAGTAAGAAAAAACTGGAAAATTCGTGGTGGACTAATGAATAAGATTATATTAATGTTAGTTACACCAAAAGTTCAAGTAAATTGAAGATAAAAATTAAAAAAAGAAAAAGAAAAGAATTAATGCATTTAACATGTTCACAATTTGTATTTCAGGCTATTGTACGTGAACATTTTAGTTGTTCAACATTAGAAGGAGCTGAACTCGAAAATCAAGGGAGTATAGGTACAGCTTTAACTCATTGGGAAAAACGATTATTTGAAGTAAGTTTATTCGTAAGAGTTATTATTAATAAGTATAAGATTATAATTATATTAGCATGAAATAATGACTGGAACTTATACTCAAGAATCCGTGATTTCTAATTTAACATTAGCTTTATTGGAAGATAGTGGGTAAGATCAATTGTTGTTTTGTTTTGTTTTTTTTTTTGAATTAAATAAAAAATTAATCAAATTTTTATTTAATTGAAAAGATGGTATGATGTATCATATGAATATGGTAAACCTCTTCTTTGGGGACGTAATCTTGGTTGTGATTTTGTTAAAACAAGTTGTAAACAATGGATTGATTCAAAACTTGAAAAGTAAAATAAATTATATAATATATATAATGAATTTTATTTTTTTTATTTTTATTTTCTTTTATAGAAAACAGAGTCCTTATCCATTTTGTATTTCATCATCAAAACCTAATCTTTCTAAGCGTATTTGTGACTATACATATGATAAAGTAGTTATGTGCAATCTTATCGAATATCCCACTGCTGTACCTCTTGAATATCAAGTATGAACAATATTCATTTAGAAAAAAAAAACCCGATGTTCATGATTGTATGATGAATAATTCAAAGATGAAAACAATTGAAAATCGTAAACTCTTAGTATTCACAAAAAACAAAGCCATTTCGTTGTATCAATCAATATAATATAGTAAAAACTTTTTTTATTAAATTTTGAGTCTCAAGATAGTAATTTCATAGAGATCATAATGTTTGTTCGATCTACGAATGGTAGATTTTCCGATATGGTTCAATTAAGAAGTTAGAAATCTTTAGCTTAATCATTAGTCTTCCAATGATACTGAAATTAAAAGCTAAGACTTATTTATAAAGTGATACAAAATTTACTACATCAACATTTTAAAAGAATAATGGATACGGCAGAATAAATGAGTCTCTCAGCATTTTCTCAATATCTCTACCATTTGGTATCGTTTCAGATTGAACTTTTCCCAAAAATACACAACATGAAATTGTCTACAAAACTATAGGAAACTATTCATTTAAAAGATAGAAATAAAAAATTTATTCGACAAGTACGGTAACTATGTATTGGTAACAACTTTCAAGCATAAAATTGAATTTTTTTTTCTTATTTTTGTGTACTACTGTTGAAATATAGAAAAGATTTGCTGTCGAGCTTTTTAGAGCTTGAAACACTCCATTTTATAGTTATACCTAATCAAATTCTCGACAAACGTCTTTCGTGCAAAATGCGCATTCCTTTTTTTTTTCAGATTTAAGAGAAACATAAGTCTTCGTATTTCATATTTGTTGTTTCGCGAACAGACAATTTATTCGAGGCAAATTCCTCTTGATCAGGCTGAAGCCACAAAAGAAAATTTGGTTCATATGGGCTTTCTGTTCAGAGAATAGACTTCTTTTCAATAGATGTTAAAGTGATTTTATTCTTCGTATATCGCATTAGTTCGAGTACATTTCATTGTGTCTGAAATAGTGCTTTGAAGTACTGTAACAATTGTTTATTAGCCAAAAGAAACAGAAAATTGTGTTGCGAGTTCATCATTAAAAGTTGTTAGCAATACATAGTCATAGTAATCGTTGAACAAATTTTTTGGTCCTATATTTTCAACACACATTTTTATATGGTTTCGTAGGGAATATTATGCTGCAGCTTTTGGAAGAAAGTTCAGTTCGAAACGATGAGAAATGGCAAAGGTATTGAGATAACATTGAGAGGCTCATTTTGTTGCATCCCTTAGTCATTGCAGTGACTATTTGGAGAACAATTGTAGAAAATAAAGGAAACATGTCTCGTAATGAACTGCATAAACTATCAATTGATAAGAAAATATTTTGCTTTGTATTGCTCCATCTTCGAGAAAGATGAGTTAAAAAATCGATCAGCTTGAAAAAACTACAAAAGTTAAGTTTCTTTTTTTAAATAAAATGTTTTTTCTGCCAGAAAATAAGATATACGATGAGTGTCTACTACTGGTATCAGTAACCAAATCTTTAGTTTTACAGCGCATACAACTCGAACATTAAACTTGTTCACACTACACGATATTGTAGAGCAAAACAGTTTCTATAAAGCGAGACACCAGAGAGCCTTCAGCGTTTTTTCGTCAAACTACATCAGATTTACGGAAGGACTTACATAAAATTGTTATCAAGTAGGTCTCTTCTCAACGGTCACTATAATGATCAAACTACTGTCACAAACCGAGAGTATATTGGAGATACCAATATTCTACTCTAATGGTTGCTTCACCCGTAGCTTTTCTGGAGGAATAAAGAGTTAATACGGTTTTACCGTGAAACAAAGGATGTTCTCGAAATTGTTATAGTAAATTTGAGCTATCGTTCGTCTAAATAATATTGAATCCTTCTATATCGATTAATTTATTAACCAGCTGAGTAATATGTTAGCAAAAAGTTATTAACTTCATCACAGACTCATTAAATAATATCTACCTTTTTATAGATCAAAATCGTTTCAAGATCTTTCTAATCGATCATCTAACAATTCAAAAATCTAATTATAAAATTTTTCAATGTATTGTATTGAAAATGTTTGCTGAGAACTGTTTATCGCTTGATCGAGTGAAGTGTCTATATTTGAATATTGAACATCACAGATCACTAATTGTTTTCATATTTGAATTATTTACAATCCAAACAAGTTATTGTTTTTTGTGTTTTGTTGCAAATAAATAATCATATTTTCATTTTTATTACCAGATTTTTGATTCTTTACCAAATATAACTGATAAAAATGAACTTGTACGTTTTGGTGGACATGTTATGTTAGCTGATTATTGTCCATATAATCAAGAATTAACCTATAAAAATTCTAATCGTGATTCAAGATGTTATCGATCAGAAAATCAACCACCAAGTATATTAAAAAAAAAAAAAACCTTTTTTTTTTAATATTTACTTCTCTTTTAGATAAAGAAAATTATGCTCTTGAAAAATATTCTTCCGAATCAAAATGTTTTGATCATGGTTCTATATGGGAACAATATATTGAACAATGTCGTAAAAAACGTCGTGTTATTCCACAAGCAGCTGGATGTTATCAAGTATTTATTTGAATTAAATTTATTTTAATGTAATTCTTTTTATTTTATTTTTTCTTAAGTTTGAATGTATATCATCCAAAGGAATTTATGTTCATATTGGGAAAGAAAAATATCTCTGTGAATATCAAGGTCAAAATTTAACTATTATAACTATTGAATATGATTCAATTTATGTTGGCACAATTATTTGTCCTGATTGTCAAATTATTTGTGGTTCTTTGGTTTGTTTGAAAATTTTTATATCAAAAATTATTATTATTATTTCTTTTTTTTTTTTTGTAGAAAAATTTTCAATGTCCTTCAGAAATAAACATTAATAATGTACAAACAAAACAACAATTAAATATTCGTTCATCTGTAGAAAATCTTTGCACAAAATTATATGAATATAATCAATCATCTATGTCAGATAAGACGAATCAATTATATATAAAATTACAAACAATATTTCTTTTCTTTATTTGTCTTCATATTCGTAAAGAATTTTAACAAAAGAAAAAAAAAAATGAAATTAATTTTCTTAAACTATATAATTCGTTTATTATTGATAAATGAATGAAAATTGTCTTTGAGGAGGAAAAAAAAAGAACGAATTTGATTAAACTATTGATTTTCTAGGAAATTTAGCTATTTCCAAAAGTAAACAATCTGATACGTGTTTAGTAAATAATTGCCAAGCTTGCTTTTCTTCTATATTTAATTCATCTCTTAGTTCATAATTAATAACATGAACAAGACTTTCACCGTAATACTAAAAGAAAAAAAAATCCAATCGAATAAAATCTATTGTTGAATTTTGTTTTAAACATACTTTAACTTGAAATGTACGAATACCTCGTCCGTAAAGTTCAACAGCTTTTTCTCGAATTATTTCATTAAATCTTGTATCACTATTTTCAATTATATCCGAATATAATGAAATAAAATTGTCACTTGCTTGTTTGATTTCATTAGCATTTAATAAATCAGCTTGAGTTTTATATGCTTCAGGTATATGATAAGACGTTCTTAATTCAGGATATTTGTACAATAAACTAATGAGAATATAAAACATCTGTTCGTTTTTCATTTTCTTTTTTTTCCTTTAAATATAACTTACTAAGCAAATATTTTTGCTCCTAGTCTATCAATTTTTTTTACATCAGGCCATGTTTGTTTCACTTGTTGAGCAACAAGAGTAAAATTGGGAATATTTGAATTTGATGGTATGGTTGTCGGTGATGGATTTGAGCTTATACAACCCATTGTTAGTAAAAAAAAAAATGAGGTGTACTTTATTTTAGCTTTATTAGATTGTAAGTACATGAAAGAGAAAAGAGAAGAAAATTTTATAATCTTTAAATCTACTTCATGAGATTGATATATTTTAAGAGTGATCATATATTTTATATAAGAAGAAAAGTTTTTCTTCTTTTTTTCAAGTCAAATTATTCTATGAATACAGATATTTAGAATCATAGATTTATTTTATTATCGAAAAGCTAAATAAAAAATGTATTTAATTTAAAAACAAGACTATGTTTTATTTTATTTTTTTTCGTGATTAATCTAATCAAAGAGTACATGATAATACTTTTATGATTGGACTCTATAAAAGAAAAGATCTCTGTAGTGAAAATAAAAATGTATACATTATTATGATTTACAACAAGATAAAATTTTGAAGTCACAATTGTCAATAAAAAAAAACTAAATATTGAATTCTATGCTGTTTTTCATTCAAGCTTTATTAATATTAATGAAAGATTTAACTAAAAGATGAAAAAAAAATACAAATGATTCGTTAAATTAAATAATTGACAGTTTAAGACTTTATTAGATAATATACGGAAAACATCATTGAATACTTTTCTTTTGAACTAGTATACAAACTTGAATAATTTCTTTTTGTCATATTGTTTTTACTGACATTTTAGATGTCAACAAAAGAACTTTGTATACATCTAACAGAACTTCATGCAAAGTCATTATTGAATGATAATGATACGTTTTTGTTTGATTGTGATGGCGTTCTTTGGAATTTTCCTGATATCTTTACAGGTGCAGTTGAATTGCTGAATTATTTGACAGAACATGTATGAAAATAATTTATTTCGAATTTTTTTTTTATAAAATGATTTGTTTTTTTTTTATTCAGGGTAAACGATTATTTTTTGTTACAAATAATTCAACTAAAACACAAGATGATTATGCAAAACGTTTTAATGATATTGGATATAAAGCTAAACCTGTAGGATAAGTTATAAAAGTAAAATTACATAAAAATATATTTATCTGATTAGGAACAAATTATTTGTTCGGCATGGCTTACTGCTCAACATTTAAAATCAATTAATTTTAAAGGAAAATGTTATGTAGTTGGAATGTCTTCAATGAAACATGAATTAGAACGAGAAGGTTTTCAGATTTGTGGTGGTATCGGTGTAAGTATGGAGAGTAATAATGTGGAAAAAAGTTAGGTTTTTTTTTTCTTTTATGGTTTAGCCTGATCCTTTAGCTTCTGATGCCAACGCAATCAAAACAGATAAACTTGAATTGGATAAAGATGTTTGTATTGTTAAACTTCATGTGTCTTTCTAAATTTATTTTTCTCATTGTATATCAATATATAGGTTGATTGTGTGATATCTGCTCTTGACTTACATATAAGCTATATTAAAATTCTAAAAGCAGCAACTTATCTGAATCGACCAAATGTTCTCTTCTTAGCTACTAATGATGATGCAAGTCTTCCACAAAGTGATGAAATTGTTATGCCTGGTAATTATTAAGGAAATAAGAATATCATAAATTTTACGAGGCAATTTTAGGTGCTGGTTCAATTTTGGCTTCTGTTGCAGCAGCTTCATGTCGATCACCTACAATACTTGGTAAACCACATAGACCAATGTTTGATGCTATTTGTTTAACATTTCCAGATGTTGATCCTAAACGAACAGTAATGATTGGTGATCGGTAAAATTTAAAAAGATTTTCCTATCAGAATAAATGTTCTGTTTATAATTTATTTTTAGAGTTGAAACTGATATTGCTTTTGGTAATCGACAAGGTACAAAAACATTACTTGTATTTACTGGAGCAACAAGCGAAAAATATTTGGATACTCTTAAACAACAAGTTGAAAAACATACAACCGAACGAGATCTTTTGCCTAATTTTTGTGTCAAAGATGTCGGACAATTTTTACAATTTCTTAAATCAACTGAAAAAAGCACATCATGATAAGTTGATTTATCTCATTTGATATTTATCAATATAGATTAAAATAATAAAAGAGAAGAATATTTCTTTGATATTTTTATTTTCTAGCCCCCTTTTTGTTTTGAAGCTAATAAACTTTCAATGAATGCAACTGAAATTTTTTAAATATCTAGCAAGAAATTTTAACTTCTGCGTTGGAGCATATTTTTCTCTTGATTATTATATGAAGGGATGAGACTTCAATCGTATTGAACCATGTTAATCAAATAAAATAATCCCTGATATTGTTGATACAATAATTTTTATCATCAGTAAAAAAGAAATACATAAAACAAATGTTGCATCAACTTGAAATTATCTATCGTCAAAATGATTACAGGTACAACATGACGTTCACATATAATTTCGATAGCTCCCCAGTGAAAAATATTCCTAAGCATATCACGATTATTTTTGATTATTGGACTTGAAATCTCATTTTTTGAACGAACTTCACACTTTTTCAGAAAATACAATTGAAATTGATTTGAATTTATCAATCTATTGGAAAAATAATCTGCTTCAACGATTATACTTGATTATCTCAATTGTAATCCGATTTTCATCGATAATCGATTTCAATCTTTTTAATCGATTAAAATCTTAATCGATAGAAATCCAATTGAAGAATTATCATTTGATTATCAACGATTGTTAGAGTAGTAATTTGATTTTAATCGTTGATTGATATTAATCTGTTCAATCGCTTGTCAAGGTGTTGGAGAATATTAATGAAGTCTATGTAGAATCAATTGAATTGTACTAATACGAGGTATTTTAGTGGAAATATCAATTGCCAGTATAACTGAGGTAGGTAAAAATGCCATGTAATGTTTATTAGGACAGAAGTTCTAGAAGGAACACGATACATATGATTATGACTGATATAAGTACTTTTTGTGAAACATAATTTAAATAAAATAACTCAGTTAAAATTGGATTTAGTCAATAGCAAGTTCATCCAAAACAAGATTTATATTTTATTGATTGTTGAAAAAGTAGTTATGGAGTAAAACTAATTATTTTTGTAAGTAGGAGGTACATATGGGATGAGTATAATCTGTGAAGATGCCAATTACAGAAGCGCTTTATAGACACAAAAGTAGTCTATAGAGAAAGGTAAAATTGTGCATGCAATTAATTAACAGTGATTTAAATAGTCTAATTAATTTAAGTTGATTTTTGGTTTTTAATCGATTTCTTATGTAATTGCATTATCTCAATATGAAACAATCTATATACCAGTTTCAACTTTACTTTAGTTGCCGAAGTTTAGCTTGGTGGCAACTTCATGGTTTCTAAATATAAGCAATCCAAAAGAATAATAAAAAAATTAGAGTTTCGCGTTCGAATACCGAGAAAAGCGCCTATCTTCAATGTGTATGATTATAATCGATTAAAAAGTAAGAATAGACTAAAATCAATTACAAAAGTAAGCATAGATTACAATCGGTTAAAAGGTAAGAACACATTATGATCGATTAACAAGCAAGAATAGATTAAAATCAATTAATAAGTAATAATAGACTAAAATTGATTAACCGATAATACGAGGTTGAAGCAGATTAACAGGTAACATAGAATAAGAATAAATAATTTCCATGTAAAAAACGGAAAAAAATTTAATTTACATCGATTTTTTCGTCATTTTTTGTACGAGAAAAGTCTCTATGTACATAGTTATATTTCATCTTATTATTTATAAACCAGTACAATAGTACAAAAATTGAGCAAGATCAGACTGAAACCAATTATATAAGAATTTTCATCATGACTATTGCAGAGTAAAATTCAAATTATAATCGATTATAAATTGAATTTTAGTGTAGAACAATCGGGTTACTGATTTCCATTAAGTACATCGGATTTCGAAATAGTAATTGATTTTAATCGCTAAAATTTTTCACTGGGTAGGTTGAAAGTGATGGTTCATAATATCACAATAATGCTATCTTTGAGCCGGAATTTCAGGAATTGGTGGACTCCTAATCAGTACTGTTACGTCTTCCTTTCTTTTCTTTTTTTATTTTACTCTGTTGTCACCGAGACAGCAGCGAGATGGAATGACAACAGAACGGAACAAAAGAATAATCTATCTTCGCAAGGAATCGAAACATACATCTTCTGCTTTTCGAGCAGATGTACTCCCACTGTACTAGAAACGAGTGTTTATTATTCGTTTTATTCCGTCTAGTAACCGAAGGAGAACAGTTCGACTGTAACAAGTCCCATACTTGAATGTTATTACTTCGGAATATTGAACTTCAAGGAGAAAACAGAAGGGTGTTGCTCAGACAACTTTCATTGTTTATTGACAAAGATCAGTAGCTGTTAAAGAGTTCTTATCTGAATCCGCTAGACTATTCAATTTGAGATGAGTTCATACAGGGTAGCAACTGAAATTCAGCAACATTATGATCATCATTGTTTAAAGAATTAAAATGTGCATAAAAAGGTCGGCAGATTGTTGATTTTGAAGCAGAGGTTCAAACAGGCCTACTTTACTTTGGCCTGGCCGGCCTATGACAGGCTGTGCACCTCTTCAGCCTGCCTGTGCCTGCCATACGTTTTCTTCGGCCTGGTCTGCCTGCCTGTCGCGGCCTGTGTAATCTTTTACATGCTAATATTATGATACTATTTGAATGAACATAAAAGATTGTGGTAATAAGAAGACAAGAAAGATATATTAATCGTCATGGGTTGGTTAGAGAGAACAGCTGAGAATTGAAAATTCTACGTATTTGTAATGACTAGATAAATAAAAAGCTTACACTTTAGAAAAAACAGTCTATCTTTTTACGGACATGTTGCTAGATTTATCAGCTATTTGACGAGGATATATCAAAAATGAGACATTTTATGTTAATGTATACAGTTAGTATTTATTTAAGCAATAATTACAATATGATTTTGCACTAAATTTTAAGCAAGAAAAAACTTTATTTGAGCAATTTTAAATTATTTCATGTACAATAATTGCTTCATTAAATAGCAGTAGTAATTTC